AATTGAGTCATGATGCAATTATTTTTGAGGATTTTGGGAATTGAGTCAATAGCAAAATAATTTACGCCACATGTATAATATACTGTATATAATAGTAATTACTTTGCTGTCCAATCAAAATTATATTACTATTTAATTGTAATAAACTTGTAAATGCATCATTGCATGATCGTAGCTTAATCGCAATAAATTCATAACTACATCAATATACTGTATAATCTCAATAAATTCGCAACTACATCAATATATAATCTCAATAAATTCACAACTACATTGCTACTTAATTATGATTATATTGTTTGTCTAATTATTATAAAACAATTTCACAAATAAATCTATATGTAATCACAATCAAATCGCTGTAATCTTGTAATGATTTGGTGATAACTTAGTAGAAAATTTGAAATTTCTTAATTGCTACTTAATTGAGAAAATTTGGTAGCAAAATAGTTGCTACCGTCATAATTAAATTAGGATGATTTTTTTATGAATACTATAACTATTTAATGGTGGCTTTGTAGTGATTTGATAAAGTTTCAGTGGTGGAATAGCAAAAAAAATAAGCACTTTTAGTAAAGGTGTTTTTAAATATTTATTAACATTAAAAAATAATAACTAACTCATTAATATTATTAACAATATTTTTTATTCTAATAACAATCACAAACCAATCTTATATGTTTGGTAATTAACAAAGCTGGCATATAACATCATTGATAACATTTTCTTTATAATTAACTTCTTCAACTGGATCAAAACATTAACTGAGATTCTAATTTATCTATAAAAATCAATTTGAATACTCTATTATGCTACAGCAAATATCTTTTCTTTTACTAATATTAAGCCAACCTCCAAGATTATATCCAAACTATCCAATAATTTTTCTTTCATATTAATATTAACTATTATAGATTTATTAATTATAATTATAGATTCATATATTCAAAATGAATTTAACTTTATCAAATATATCTTCAAACTAATTTTAGACTATCGACCTTCCTTCTATTCAATACTGAGTAGATGATTATATATTCTTAAAGCCTTTTGACAAACTATATTATTTTAAAATTTCTTTTTAATATTAGTTTAATAGTTACTATAGGCAAGCCAATATTTAACTTGTTGTACTATTATATATAAGAGATATTGTTTATTTCACAATATATATCTATTATTATATAAATTAAATAAAAAAATGATGTTTATTTACAAAAAAAAAATTAAAAGTTAATAAAATATATAGTAAAATTAATAAAACTATATTTTGGAAAGTTTTTTTTTTATCGAACAAACTTAAATTTTAAATATTAATTTTTTGACAATTATCTTATCAAAATATATCAAATTTTTTGTCAATAATATAAAAAGACCTGGATTTTAACATATAATATTTTAAGAATTTTTGATTATATGAATTATTAATTTATAAATTATTTATTAAAAATTTTCAGGTTAAAAAAAATCTTTAAAAAAAAATCTTTAAATTTTGCTTTGAAAATTATAAAAATTTAAAAAAAATCCAATGATTAGAAATTATAATAAACTATTTGTTCAAAAATTTTAGAACAATTGAATTAAATTTGAATTTTTAAAGGGATGTAAATTACTTATGACTAGTACTGTAAGTAAAACTAATATTATATAAGTTTTTAGAAAAATACTTTAATTTAAAAAAATAAATAAGAAGTAACCTTTTAATTAAAAATTTTAAATATTATAAAAAAATATTCTATAGTTTAAAAAATATCTTCAAAATTGTTATCAAATAATTGCCAATAGCTTAAAATTATTTTATAAAAATATTATATTTTAAACTATAAAATCAAATAAAATTTCAAAAGTAAAAAAATTCTTTCTATTAAAAAGTACAGTATTCATATTTGAAGATCTATATACTAAATTTAAAAAGGTTTAAAATAAAATTATTTCTTATTTTACTAAAAGGCATTGCTTCAATATTAATTCTATATACTGTATAATGCAATTATTTTTTAATTGTTCATCAATAATATAAAAAATTTTGAATTATATTATACTTTTTAATGAAAGCTGCAATATAAATAATCTTACAAGAATTATTATTAATATATTAATAATTGATACAAAACAATTAAAATAGTTTATAAATATTTACATGGCAGAAAATTTATTCTTATTAATTTAACCAGAAAAAAAGATAATTCATTATTTATACATGCTGGCTAGGATTAACTCTTTGATTTTTCTATCTAATGAAATGAGATTTTAGATATGTAAGCTTTTTTTCTGCTTCTTGCAATTAATTATATTCTCTTATCTTTGATATCATATAATAAAATTTAATTTTTCAATATTTAATTTTCTAATTATTTTTTTATTGTATTAAACTAATTTCTGGAATAAAAGATCAAGCTTTTTTATAACATAAAAAATTAATCTCTTCTTTTTAATTGCAAATATAGATTAGGTTAATATCTTGGATTTGGAATTCTTGATCAACTATATCTATATTATAGTTATTAAATAGTAATCAAGTTTGTCTTTGATTTTTTAATTTCTTTGATCTTATGTTTCAAAAAAGATTCAATTAATGAATTTATATTATTGACTTTCTCTTTTGTTATTGGATTCCTCTTCCTAGATATAAGATGATTCCAAGCTACCTCTACTAGTAAGGAAAGTAATTGATGAATTAAATTAAAATATGCTTTATTTAATTTATGGCTTTTTGAGTCATTGCTTTGTAACTGATAAAGTATTGAAAAACTAATATTGTATTTTACATTGAGAAAAAATTGGAATCTTCTATAAAAATTATGAAACATACATCAATAAAAATATATATATAAATCAAATAAATAGATAAGTTATTATAAATAAAATAAATAGATATGAATTAGTTATTATATTTACACTTCTAATTGTTGGAGACGCTTACTAATTTTATCTTGTAATTGTTTCTTTTTAGAACTAATCTATTCATATAAAGCTGGAATAATATATTTCTGATATCTTTCAATTTTAAATTCAATATTAGCCGGACATCTATTATATTCTTTTATATACTCAGCATATTCCTTATTAGGATGTGTTTTTACTCGATCTAGAAAGTTTGGATTTTTTTACTTTGCAAGGAGTTAAACCTAGAAATTTTTCATTATCAGAAGTACTATCATTTGATAAACTATTCCAGGCAAGGCGTGCATCTGATGGTATTCTTTCTTGGAGCCGTCTATATGCCCATTGAATAATTCTAGCTGAACCATCTCTAGTTTTAGCTTTATCACATCCTTGATCCCAATGTTCCTGCATCAGATCTTTAGGTTCAATGCGATCAACATATCTCTGTCTAGAATAATGAAATTTTTTCTTCGATTTTACACCATAAATTTTTATAATAGCAATATGACCTTTATGGATTCATGGCCTATAAGAAATTATTATATTTACCTTTACTGTATAACATAAATAAGCAATGTCGATGATATATACTAAATTTTCCTGAATTTAATAAATCTTGTAATGGAATTCTTACCCGTAAACTCCACTGGAATGGTGTTTCATTCTGTTTTATAATTGATAGTTCATCAAATAATCTTTCATTATCAAAGAGTTCTTCATAATGTTTTTCATAAAAATCCAAATAAATTCCAATATATGACAGGACATATTTCATATCATATCCAGGACGGGTGTTAAAGGGTTTGGGTAATGTTTATCTTTCTTATCGAGAATAGTAGCGATATTAAAACCAGATATATTTATAGATTATATCGGATTTAAGGATTAAGAACTATTATATTTGGTCCAATATACTTAGAATAATGCAATTATAATGTATTCGAAATAAACTTATATACAGTATCAAAATCTCAGTAATACAGTTACTGTAACTGCCGATAATTCGATCCTCGATATTCAATTTTCACTATAATTCGATTGCCTGGAGTTGCCTTGAACAAGATCTGATTAGTTTTTTCTTAAGTACGTCTGTTATTAATTTGATTTGTACGTCAATTCGATCAATAACTCTGGAACGGAGGGAGGTCTAATTAAAGGCAGTTGACTGTATATAAAATTACCCCTCAAAAATGCTGTTAAAAGTACAGATATTAAAAAAAAAGCCAAAAATACATTTTTTTGTTATATAATAAACTGCACAAACTTTAAAGACATACAGTACAATTTGATATGTCTAACGAAATTTATTTAATAAAAAACCTAACAAAAATACAATTTATAATTTTACGATATAATATAACTCTTATGATATCAATAAAGATATATGTTGCAGTCAAACAGATTTATATACTAAAGCAAGATTATTTATAGCTCAATTTGACGATTGCGAATTACCCCAATCTTTGGGCTTACGTCTTCGTAAAATAAGTACTTGAGCGCATCTATAATACGCTTTTCGTTCGCTTGATAGTACTCTTCCAAAAAATGATGATCGTGACATATTTGTATTTTATATGTAATAAGTCCTACGGCTGCCTCAATGCGACCGTCTTGAGTCTCATGTCCAATGATTTGGATTAGCGTGGCTTCAATAAAACCACCAGCAGAATAATCAAGGTGGGTGTATTGTTTCTCGCCATTAACAAATTTCGCGAATACCAATGATATTAACTTGTTTTTCAGTTCATAGTTGAGATTAGGAAAATGATAGTTAACAAATTTGGTGACTTTCGTTTCATCATTGTCCAAAATGGCAAGTACAGTTTCGATACTCTTTGTTCTTGTAAGTGCACAGGGACATGAATCTCCATGTGTTTGGCAACCGACGCGATTTGAAAGCCAAACATAATCATTCCTATTCTTACTATATTTTGAAAGCACGTTATCAACGGGAGATTTATTCCAATTGAATACTGAAAGCACGTTATTAAAAAAGTTTGCCGAAGATACTTCAATGGCATTTGCAAAAAAAAATAATACGATTAAGATGTGATAATGGTTCATTGTTCGAAGGGATGGATATTAACTTTTCATACGGTATAAACATTGCAGTTAAAAAACATACACGTATATATATAGAGATGAGCACTTTGCATGGTTGTGCGATATTGTAATGTTATTACGTAGTTGTAGCTTGATTTAAGGTCAATACCACCTTTTTTTATCCTTTCTACTGTATTTACTGTACATGTATGTCTCAAATATATATAACGGGATAAGAACAGAATATACATAATGAATATGTACTTTACGCCAAATCTTTGTGTTCGACATACACATGTAGGACATTTAGACTTTTAGAAACGTTACTCGACTACTATAGACTCATTCATATTACTGTATAAGACTTAACGTTAACAGGAATCGATATTTTAGTCATTAGTCACGTGATCATGACCCGCTTCATAGTAGAGGTCACGATCACATGATATGCGTTAGCAGTAAATACAGTACTTTTTATTACACAGATATATTACGCTATGTTTTTGATCTGAGCTATTACTTGTGCGATATCTTCCATACTCAATTTTGAAATGGCTGTCACAGAATATGATCGTAATTGACCTATTATCCCTTCCCTATTATCGCTAAAAAGCATGTAGATTTTTTTAAGCTTTTTCCGCTTTCTTTCGAATAGTAGTATCTGTTACATCGTGGAGAAATTGTTTTATAACCACTTTATTAACTTCGACCTGAGCTGTGTATTCATTATAACATTTCTCAAAGTGGTATTTGAAATGTTGAGACAAAACTTTTCCAAAGGAGTAATAGCAACAAATAACTTCTTGATTTGTAATTTCATTGCGAGTTTCGGTGTTAGTGATCTTGTAATACAAATATAAAAAATCATCAACACTTTTGTCAAACAGTGGGTCTTTAAAAATTTAAGATATATTGATGGTTAACTCTTGAATAAGCCCTTTCAATGCATGGATTCCTTCTTACCTTTTTATCAGATACAGTAGAAACCATGATGTTGCGAGATATTTTGTATAGTTCGGATCCTTCATCCACATTAGGCCTTGTAGATGTTTCAGAAATACTGTTACGATTAAGTGAAAAGGTGGTTTTTTCAGTGGTACTATCTCTAACAGATCCAATTGACATAATGATCTCTTTTTGATCACCGGTTTGATTTCCAGCTGTGATTTTTCCTTATTCAAGGTATTACTGTATATTCTTGTTCTTGCTTCTCATTTGCAGATGGTGCTTCTATAGTGATTCTAATATTACCTTTATCCACGCTAGTTTGATTTGTTATCTGGACTTGCTCTACCTCCAAATATTTACTAAGTAATCCCGAAGCTTTCATAAATTCGTAATCATTGCATTAAGCTTTTCCTTGATCCATGTAGGAGCAGGTTAATTAGGTGTTTTGTCTTTAACTATAAACTCTGCAATATCAGGCACATCAGAGATTAATTCATTGTCATCTAAGCCCTCTATAGTATCCTCACTTTGCTGAGTCGATTTAGTTAATTCTAGCATTAGTATGGCTTCAATGTTTTTGTGACAACTGAATATAGGACATATTGCCTCTTCTGATGCTAAATTTGGAAGGTCCTTCTCGACACACGTCCTATAAAATATGTAAGCACAACCTAGAATGGTAATTGATTGAGGAGGGTTAGATAAAATTGCATCCTTGCATTTGGGGTATAATTTTAGTTCTGGAACTCAAATACCACCGGTAAGGATGCCTGGTTCTTCTAGAGTATTCAATGCAAGGACTCTGCTGTTAGAAGTATCCATATTGCAAGGCTATGTCAGTTATGATTTGTTTTTATATATTGCTGAACAATCACAAAGTGGTTAGGAATTCTGGCAAAAGAAAAAAGTTATTTCTGGAACTAACTCGACTTTACTTAATAAAGATGCTATACATGACACAAAGTGACCTAAAATAATTTTCGGATGTGACAGATTAGGAGGTAATTACTTGATTTTATTATCAGATTAAATCCATACAAAATATTATAAAAGAGATTACATTGGGTAAATCCAACTTATTACTAATCTATTTTTTTTTATCCTCAGACACATGAAAAATAGGAAAAGATATGTATTTTTATGATTATTTACTGATACTTCTTAATCAGGATCTTGGATATTGAAGTTTAGGATGTATCAGATTGATTGTGGGAAATGGTTAAATTTAAAATTGAATATAAATACAATGCTTATATTATCAATAGGTAACCTTTATAGAATTATGGTGAAAATTAAGCTCTTTTGTCATCTTGCTAAAGAGATTAAAGCCAATTTGAAGAAATTTTATATTGATGGTAATGCTGATGATACTGTTATCCACTTCAAAAGAAATTTAAGAAAGTGAAAAATAAAATTCTTTTGATATTAAGATCCAATATTTAAAATTTTAAAAAGTACAAAATAGTAGAGATGTGGATATGGAAGATATTAAAAAAAAACTTAAAAATTCTGAAAGAAACAATTATTTGAAAAATCAATTTATATTATTGTTAATTCTTGATTTTTAGTGGCTTGACTGGCTATATAAGAAACAGATATACAGATTCCGAATAGAAATAAATCAGTAAATTTATTAACTAAGAGGCAAGACAAGATTTTTAGATTTAATATTATGATATTTCTTATATACAATACAATAAACTTATAACTAATACATGTATCTTAATAAAACATTAAGGCTTAAATACTCTTGAAGTTCTTTAAACTAAAACTAAAGAACTTTGTTATACTCTTATAATAAAAAATTTTTTATGGTCAAAAATAATTGCAGATATTAGAACTAATACTATAAAAACAAAAAATATTAATAAATGAACATTACAAAAATTTTGTAATAGTGAAACAAAAAAATATAATAATAATGTTATACTTTAATTAAAATCTGAGTAATTAAAAAAAATAATAATAATAAGAAATTCAATTATTATATTATTAAAAAAATTATTTTTTTATTTTATTTTATAAAAGTTATTTATTAAAAAAATATATATTATAAAAAAAAACAACATATTTTACATGCAATAGTAGCAAGTTTAATACAAACTTGCCTATACTATTTATACCTAGCTAATGTCAAAAAAGAAATTTTAAAACAATATTATATACTATATATAATTAAGGATAGTGGCTATGTTTACTTGATAGAATATAATGAATAGTAAGTAAATCAAAAATAAAATCAAAAAGAAAATATGCTAGACAAGTATAAATGTAATAAAAACTGATTATAAAATAAAGGAGGCCTATTGGACATGCTACTCTAATATTTTTACTCCTACAAAGTATATATTAATATACTTTCCAAATGGCCAAGCTACTCTCCAAAATATATAATAGTATTGATAACATAAATTTCTGATAACTGATAATATATAATAGTAGTAATTGATTAGTAATAGTATTAGTGGTATTTTGTTATTGTTTATGTAATATTTGATTGAATAAAATATAAGTTGATTGATATAAGCCACTTCCAAGCTATTGTTAATATAAGCTACTTTTAGGCTGCTGTTTAAAAAAAGCAAAAATGTTAAAAAGATTTTTTGATAATTGTTTGGACTTGTTAGTTGTTGTTTTGTAGTAATAATATGTTGTTATTGTTTTTTGATTGATATTTGATAGAATGTAATTGTTGTTTTGATGTTTATTAATAGTAAAAGATTATATAATTATATGGATTTCCATTTTTGAAGTTGTTTATATTAATTTTTTATAAATGTGATAAATATATTTTGATGTTTTATAAGATATAATTGGTCAGAACTAAAGTATTAAGTAGTTATCAGAGGTAAGTTAATTATAGTTTTTTGGTAAAAAGTTTTTTAAAAAAGATTTTTGGATTTTTATAATGCAATATAATATGTTGAATGATATTGAAAGTTATGTTTTATATATATTGCTAGTTCCCCAAGCCAACAATATACATAGTTTTAATATAAAGTTTTAAGTTTTGTGTTGAAAAAAAAACCTCTAGCAAAAAAAAAAAATATTTAAAAGTATTTATATATTGATAAGAAGTGTTTTAATAAAAAGTGAAAATGAAAAAAGCTCCAAGGAAAATCTATAAAGAAATAACTGCTATAAGTCTTTTTTTATGCAACCCAAAAAGAAAGCAAGGCTTCCAAACTTGCTTCTTTCTAACTAGAAGTTTTATTTTAATACATCAGTATATTTTTTTGATTTCCTTAAGGCTTTTATAGAGAAGATTAAAAAGATGTAAAGATCTTGTAAATATTGGAAAGCAAAAGTAATATTTTTTTTTTAATTTTTAAAAAGTTATTATAAAAGAAAATTTTTTAAAAAAATGTTATATATAGAAAAGAGTTCTTAAAAGTTATTTATAATTAATTATCTATACTATTATATAATTAATAATAAAGATTTATTTCATTGATTAATATAGTTATACAAATAAATATAAAAGCAGAAATTTTTTATTATTAATAGATTATAAATTTTTTACATAAAAATTAACTAAAGATCTTTTTATATAATAAAAGATTATTAAAAAAAATAGTTAATTGGTTTATTAATACAATATAAAATAAAAGCTCTTTACCTATTATTTTTTAATAATTTTTCTTACATATATTATTTCTTAAATTTAAATTTATCACAAGTTAAAATTTTATTTTTTAATAACTTCACAATTATATCAATTATCTGTTTTATATTATTTCTCTAATTTTTCTAATTTTCAAGTATTTTTTTCATAAGATTTATTTGATATTACTATTAATATTAAAGAAAATCATATTAAAAGTAAATATAATAAAATGTTAATTCATGGCTATAGAAACAATTCCATATAAATAATTATAATTTCTACTCTTAAATACTTTGTTTGTAATACAAAAAATATTCAAAAAAAAACTTTTTTCTAATTATATACACATCATAAAAAAATTATTATATTAACAAGTCATTAAAAACATTATCAAATAAAGCATTTTTATAATCTTTAAAATTATTTTTATCAAATTTAATCTGAAATAAATTATTTTCTATTAATTCTGTATCTATAAAAGAATCATTAATATGAGGTAATATTGATATATTTTCTTTTTAATAAAAAATTAAAATTATTTACATAAAAAAAAAAACTCTTTCCCGTTCACTATACATTCCTTAAAAATTTCCTTTTTAGGAAGTTTTTTTTCTTTTGAGAGAAAACTTCTGTTAAAGAACTCATAAATACACTGGTTAGTAGCACCATATTGTACTCTCTCTAAAAATATAGTTCTTGCTGATAAAGAAGCTGCAAGGCTGAAAACAGCTTCCTTTATCCTCAAACAAGTCACCTTGGATCGGCAAATTGAAAGTATCATTAGAATTAGTGTTGGCTCCTTAATGACAAAAAATCAGGTGGTATTTCTTATATAGATAGAAAATACAGGTTAATATAGCACAACAACAATGTTAACATAGCAAACCACATAATCACAAATAGAAATAAAGATCAACATTCTCCACTCTTCTTCATGAACTTTATTTGTGGCACAGTATCCAATCTCTTGTTTGGTTTGAAGTTGGATACCTTGCAACTGAACTTCATCTAACTGTAATGGATACCAACAGTGGCACTTCACTCAAAACAAAAAGCAAATGGCCAATCCTAGTTAGAGATTTTTCAAACTAGATAAATATTAACAAGAAGGCATAAGGAGTATAGGCTGATCACAAATTAATATAGAAATCACAATAGCATACAAATGGGTTTTTTCTTTAGAACAATAAGTAGTTTTTCTCCTTTATAGTTTCACAAATATGTTCTGCGGGTTTTAAAGAGTTTTTCTGCAGATTATTATAGATACTTACATGTAAATATACACATGTATCCTATTTTTACTTTTTTTTTTTATATTTTTTTTAGATCTAGTTAGAGCCAATAAGATATAACTAGTCTCTAGCTAACTATGTTCGGATGGTCTTTTAAGTTCCTGTTCATCAAATGATGAATGGGGACTTAGAGGTGTACATCCTGGCAAGTTAGTTCTTTACCTATGCTATTAGGGCTCTGACTTAATAATATAGAAGGCATGGAGTATAACAAGCCAACTGGTAGATAGCTTGTTATCTTAGGTAGTTTAGGAAATAGATAAAGTCTGACTTTGTTGCAAAATATAAGAGTACTCAATACAATATTCAATAAACAAGGTGTATGCCAGTCATTAAAAAAAAAATTAAAATTATTTATTAATATTTTTTAACTTTATTATTATTAAGTTATTTAATACTATATACTGATTCAAGTTCAGAAAGTATAAATTTTTGTTCCAAAAATAAAATTTAATTAGTATTGATTTAAATGTCTAAAATTTTTAACAACATTTATCCTATATGTTAAAGAATCATCAATTTCAATATCTATAATCAAATTTTTATTAGAGTTATAAGCAGATAAGTTTTATATATTATTATTTATTTTTTAAATATTGTTTGATTTGTTAATTCTTAATTAAATAAATGCTTTAATAAAATGTGTTAAGCTAAAGCATAGAATTGTAGAACTCTTGATTATAATATTTGTATAGTTAATATATTTTATAATAAATTATTTATAATTAAAAATATATTTTTTCTAAAATAGATAAGTATCAAAATTATACTAATAATTATAATTATTACATATCAAAAATTATAAAATTATGGTATTACAATTATTATTATATGCAAAAAAATAATTATATAAGTTAGCAAATAATAATATTATTAATATTAATTTATGACATAAAAAAATTAAGTGACAAATTTGAATATAA